AATAAATAAATAAATAAATAAAAGAAATACATATACATATAACAAAATTGACCTTAAATTTGTATCAATAAACCAAGATCCATACCAATGCAAATTATTCATATCTGTATCATATCCCCTTTAAATGTAAACAAACATTTATAGACAATATATGGGAATATGAGAATAGTTTTCTCCATACTGCTTTCTGCTGATTGTTGGGCATAGTTATTTTTGGGGGTGTTCACAGTGACCTTCGGGGGGTCTTGTTCCATCAAGCCACACCAGTCTGGAAGCAATCCACAGGTTCTCATCCTCTGTGGAAACAAGAGAAGAACCTCTTTTCCAAAGCAACATATCCTTTTTTTTTTTAATTTTCGAGACAGAATTTTTCTGTAGCTTTTGGTTCCTGTCCTGGAACTAGCTCTTGTAGACCAGGCTGGCCTCGAACTCACAGAGATCCGCCTGCCTCTGTCTCCCGAGTGCTGGGATTAAAGGCGTGTGCCACCTTTATGCCAAAGCAACATATCCTTAGACCCAAATTTGGAGGTCATGATACCTTTATAATATACATGTTGGTTTAGCTTAGCAGCCCGTACAATGAAATTTCTCTCTGTACTTAGCTCATTCACAGTCAAAAAATTCAAAGAAAACACAATAATAAATATACATAATCCAGACTTTCTGTGAATTTTCCATTTTTACATGGCTTGTTTTTCTTTACTCCTTTTCATCTATGACTGTCTGTACTCTGTCTCTTTAAAGACTTTGTTTTATTTTTTAAAAAGCCATTTACTTCTTTTTATAACTCTCTATACTCTTTTTCTTCTCTCTCCCAAGCCCACGTACATTTATCCAGCACTGTGACTCATCTGGATTTGTCTTTATTGCATATCTGTAATTCTTTACTGTCCAGGAGCACTTTTTAAAATGCTAAGCGCTTTGTAAAACTTAAGCTGCATCATTACTATGGCATGTATGGTACTCACTGTTTACCTGCCCAGTCTGAAACTTAAGCTGTGCCATTACTATGGCATATATGGTACTTCCTGCTTGCCCACCCAGTCCAGCATGGTGGAGCCCCTCATGCCTCTGAGAGCCATGCACACAGCCAGTCCATACCACCATTAAGCAAGCTGCAGCAGTCTGCTCACAAACCCCACTCAAATGCTCTGAAGCCTGACCTCCTGCCTGAAAGAGTCAGAGTTTGTGCTAGTAGCATGACTCAGAAAGCTGGCATTTCAAAACAGCACTTTTTTTCCCCCTGCTACCACTGCTTCAGGAAAATCTCTCTTAAAGGAGCTGCAGCAAGCCCCCAGCTGGAAAAGAAATGCGGCTAAACTCTGCTTTTGTGTGTCTCGAGTTCCTTTCCAAGCCCACTCAGGTTTTACATGGACTTAGTCCACCACATTGGCATGCCAGTTTGTTGGAAGAGAGCCACTTGTTGGTTCCCTGCCACCTGGCTAGCTTAGACCCAAAATAATCACACAGAAACTATATTAATTAGATCACTGCTTGGCCCATTAGTTTTAGCTTCTTATTGGCTAACTCTTATATTAATTTAATCC